GTTGAAAGGCAGATCAAATGTCAGATAAATTGTACCGTTTATGTTGTAACGCTGTTAACAAAAATAAATAATATTCGGTGTCAATGAACCGCATGAAAATCTGAATAATCGTGAAGTGAAAAAACGAAGTATTGAGGGAGACGAAATCTATGAAATCCGGCTGGCGTTTTTTTCTCTGTTCACCAATCAAAATCCTGTAAACCGTAATCGATGCGGTTGCGAGCCATCAGGGAAGCGGTGCGTGTCGAGTTTTGGCATGCAGGTGCAATGACGAATATGTACCACTATTTTTGACTCCCTCGCTCTCTCTCTCTCTCTCTCTCTCTCTCTCCCTGGCTTACCGATTAGCAAAACCGTGGTACATAGCTGGTATTTTCGAGCATCAGATTTTCGTCCCGGTTCCCATCGGGGCCGAGAGGCCGTATCCGAGTAGACGGTGTTTTCCACCGATTTTTGGCCCTTTTATCCCACGACAACGCGGCGCGCGCGGCGCTCGCCCAGGCGAAATTTGCATAATCCGTGGAAGCATCGGTGCGACGAAAATTGCGCGTCACCCGTGAACCGTTCAACGTCGAATCAACCGGCGATTTCAGCTTTTGTTCCACCTTTTTTTTTTCGCATTCCCTCTCCCGCTTACAACGGAAAATGTTGGTTCCGGTTTATTCAACAAGATAAAAACGGGTAGTTGATTTTTACATACGAATAACAAAATTATTGCTCGTAGCTGGATTAAATAAAAATCTTTTCTCTCGGTCACGTCGTTGTAAACTGAATGACGTAAGTAATTGTACATTAGTTGTTCTATATTTCAAGAAGAATTTAATCCCGAATAAGGTTTAAGCTACGAGGTAACAAACCAGACGATAAATCTAATTCCAAATGGAAATGAGGAGGAACCATCAGCAGGTAGAATAAACGTGCGATAATGCGTCCCGCTTTGGCAAATGCTCTCTTCCCGGAAGCATCTACCGGTTTAATTGAATTCCCACGGTGCGGCGTCGCTGCCACGACGGCCGCGAGCTCCGGATGATCATACGAACGACGCGTCCGAGAGTATATTAATACCTGGCACACGCGAATCTTATCAATGACCGAGTGTAGATGAGAGAAGAAATTCATTTTGCTCAGGGCAAACGAGTTTCGTCGACGTTATATTAAACCGAAGGATCAGCCGTTTAAAGCTGATCTGTATAATTCGCAGCGAAAGGAGTCGATACGCGAGTAATAAAACCGAGTTATAAAGCTAGAATCGTTTTCATATCCGGTCCCCGGGAGTTCCAATCGCGTGAAATCTCTCGTTTCTTTCAATTTTAATTATGGGCCGTCGATTATCGTAGGACAGGCGAGCGGGGTTTCGCAGATCCTCTGGTCGAGAGGCAATCTTGGCTCAAACGTGGCCGAAGGAAACCGATTATTTGCATGCTTCGTCCCGTTGGGAATACCGGATATACCGCTGGTTGCCTGAGTAATCAGAAAACGTCCTGATCCTCTTCTAACCGCCTCCTTCCGTCCCTTTGTACGTTCGCTTTCCGTATTGCTTGATTTTCTCTTCCGGCATTTTTTGCAATCTCCCGTCCGAAGAAGATCCGCCCGCGCTTTCCATTCCTCGGAATTTTTCTCTCAGATATGAAACTCGAGAGGCCTGATCCGACGCGTGCGATCAGTTAGCGATAATTAAATGCCCGCTATCTTGTCCACTTTTAAATGTCTGATTAACTTGGGCAGTATTTTTGGATTAACTTGAATTATTAATCAAGAACACGTTTAAATAAAACACAATATATATTTCGAACATGAAAAATGTATACAATATGTGGAGCACTGCTTCTTACTTCGATGCTCGTGGACGACTGACT